GTGAGGCCACCATCCTGTAAACATCTAGACAAAGCCCTTATGAGCCTCCCCTATATGCTATCATATGTAGGAGACTCGATATAGCCACTCCCAAAAAAGAGAAAATACAGTATGCAATTTTTTTTTTCTTTATCACGCAGAGTTGCAGTGAGAGGAAGTGAACTTCACCAGGGTAGTTCTGTTCTGAGCACTCATTTGCTTATGAACCATCAACAGTTCCTACATAGAACTTTTACTATTCAGTTTTCACCTAAATATCTATCTAGGCACTTATAATGTGCATGCTGTGGTGTCTAAGACACTGATCCTGCAAATATTTATTATTAGGCATGGTATTGCTCACAGTACCAAGCACTATTAAAAACAAGGGTATTGCTCAAAGTAGTAAGCACCATGGCCTAAGCACCTACTCTCCTGGAGAACAGTTGCATTTTGTCCATATAACTAAAGATTTAAGGCAATGAAGGGGCCAAAGACTTTTATAGATGTTATGTGCAAAGGGCAACAATATTAGGCCTTTGGTGTGTCATGCTATTCTCCCCCCCCCCCCCAAAAAAAAAAAAAGTTAGGTGTAGTTCTCAGACTTGCTACTTGAGGGACAAGCTACAGATTTTACTTCTAGTTTTTCTACTGTGTGTTTTGCACACCTAGAGCATTCTTACAGGCACTACACAAGACAAAAAATAAATGCTGAGCCTTTGGCCAGAGCACCTCTTTGGCCAGTTTTAGCCCTCAAGAAAATACCTTCGCTTTTAGCACTCTTACGTATAGAGACACCAGAAAGGGTAAAAACTTTAACCTGAACCATGCAAACAAGAGACAGGAAAACACTTATAAGATCTTTCTAGTCCATTCACTTTCCGGTCTGTGCAGGACTGTTCCTTACCTAGTGTTCCACTGTATTTTGCCCAGTCCTCAGTACCTGTGTTACGTCTAATTAAGAACATAACGGAAACCTTAGTTTGAAAGAAGAAGATACTAAACTGAGTCCAAAAGGCCTATTTGAAAAGGATACTAGAATGATTAAAGTCAAGCCTTTTATGTTGTAAATCTGCCTACTGTACAAGAAGCTGTCAATCAAAACCTTTCCTAACTTTTGTGGCAGGACTAACCCCAATGGATTTCCCGTTTTTCTCCCTGGGATTTGGGTGAGGGGTCAACAGAGCTGGACTTACCGACATAACTGGATTTAAACAGTGCAAACTTCAGAAGACTTAACCTGCTCACTCACCCACACCACACATCTACCTAAGCTCTGAATTAATGAATTAATTCCATCTAAACCAAGCCCTGAAGAATCAGTCACATTTAAAATATGCCAGAAACCTGGTTTGGTATTTATACATAAGATTTTTTTAAAATGATATTTGTCAACAAATGAATCATTGATCACAAGAAGTGTTCTGAACTGTAAGCTTAAAACTACACTGTTTATCTATTTGGTATGCAATACAATTCCTAGTGAAGTTGGTATAACATTCTGCTTAACAGAATGTTATCAGTAACTCATTCCTACAGTCTCCAATACTGACAGCTCTGCATCTCTCGACAGTTCCATGTCTCTTTCCTTACTAAGGGCATGTCTACACTACAAACTTAAATTGCCCCACCCTAAAGCCCCCTCCCACACCCCAACCCCCAATTTTGTGAGCATTCATGACCCGCCATTCAATTTCCATATCCAGATGTGGCCCTTGGGCCAAAAAGTTTGCCCACCCCTGGCCTATAGCCTGCCTTATTCCAGCTGTCTTCAATTCTTATTCTCTCATCTCTTTCCATTATTATGGGTTGTATTATACACACTTCTGGAAATCAGGGCTTGAAAAGTTCACCAGAAAGCTACTAGGCAAAACCAAAATGAAAGGCTGGTGGAGGTCCACCAGCCTGGTAAACAGACAACAGGGCTTTCCCAAACAACAGCTGAGTTGTCGGTTTCACTGCTGCTCAGAGGGTTCTAAAGAAAAATAGTGAAACCAACCACGGTCTTGTTAATTTTACCCTGCAGCTGCCTGGAAAGAGTCTGGCCAATAGCAGAAGTACTAGAACCATTTGTTTGCAAACTCAGGAAGTGGACAATAAAAACGTTGACATTCAGTTCATCCTTGGAAGGTTATCTTCTTGGAACCCACATCCATTCAGTGTGGCACTCTGTCCCCATCGAGCGCTGGCTGGGCTACATATTGAGGCGGATGATCCTGCTACAGCTTTGACTTAGAGGGTCTTTTAGCCCAAGTAGTAGAGGCTCGTGTTTTAAGATCCAGAGGTCAATCACTGCTGCTGACAACCCACCCAGGGGAGTGGCATTACAAGTGATGGTTTGCATGAGGATTTGAACTGGGTGGACTTGTTGTGAAGCTTGGAAGGAGCTTCCCCAAACCAGGGTTTAACATTTTTTTTTAAGTTAAAAATATAAAAGCATCAATTCTGCAGCTGTGTCTGGCCTACCTTCACCAGCCAGATACAGCTTTGCACTTACTCATGAGTCAGTGAATGGATTTTCAAAGTCATGCTATTATTGTCTATTTTTAAAATTTGTAAATATTATGCAAGTCTGTAAAAGATTTTAGCAATACAATTTTTACAAGAGGCCTGATATAAAGTTTAACCAAAACATAAGACAAAAACCCACAAAAGCGTCAAAATAAAAGAAACTGATACAGAAATTCTACTGAACAGTAAGTCACAACAATGGACATTTTTGTTCCGTGGCTTTTAATAGCAACCGGCTCTGAAGCCATGTAGAGCTGGTGCAAGAAATTCATGGCTACTTTCCTTCCTCATTTGACAATTGGTTTGCGTGTGGGTGCACTCTGTTCCCCATAAAGCAACACAGCTTGTCTCAGTTCTACTGCAACGCGCCCCCCTCATTTTCTGCTGGTCTCCCATATTTTTCACTTTCAACTTTTCCTTCTCACAGGACTGCCCACTCTTCTGGGTGCTTTACAAATGAAAGGATCACAGGGGGGTTAAAAACTATAGCGCCCTCTACACCAAGAATGTTTTCTAAGGGTACGTCTACACTTACTTCCTGGTTCGGCGGCAGGCAATCGATCTTCTGGGATCGATCCCAGAAGTGCTCGCCGTCGACGCCGGTACTCCAGCTCGGCGAGAGGAGTACGCGGCATCGAAGGGGGAGCCTGCCTGCCGTGTCTGGACCCGCGGTAAGTTCGGACTAAGGTACTTCGAATTCAGCTACGTTATTAACGTAGCTGAATTTGCGTACCTTAGTCCGAAGTGGGGGGTTAGTGTGGACCAGGCCTAAGAGTTCCCCACCATTGACAGTATCAGTTCGGCTCCACTCATGTTTGCCGTGTTGGATGCCTTAAAGTAGACAGGTTTCAGGTGTAGCCGTGTTAGTCTGTATCAGCAAAAAAAAAACGAGGAGTCCTTGTGGCACCTTAGAGACGAACAAATTTATTTGGGCATAAGCTTTCGTCGGCTTATGTACATCTGATGAAGTGGGTTCTAGCCCACGAAAGCTTATGCCCAAATAAATTTGTTCGTCTCTAAGGTGCCACAAGGACTCCTCGTTTTTTTTTTTTTAAAGTAGACAGGCTGGCAACATTTTTAACACCACATTGATCAGACCTGCTCTTAGAATTACACAACATGATATTAAGAATGCCGATTGCCCCATCTGTGCTAGGACTTCCAGTGCTGCTAACACAGAGGGGAATTGAATCAGTATTGGCACCCATGCAAACTTTTAGAAAATGTCCCTATTTTAGACAGGGCCTTTAGGCAAAATTGTGACTAGTATGGGGAACTGTTGTAACTGCCGTGGTCCAAAAGGTAAAATACTGTTCCTATCCTGAAGCAGCAGCTTTACTGCAGGCCAACATGCTAATTCGGAACAACTTGAAGAATATCCCCAGGCACTCTGTTCCCTTTGAAAGGGGAACTAAACTGTGTGGAGGTTACAGCTAGTCAGCTACCCCACCATATTCAGCTACATCCTCCTAAGTCTCCTCTCATAGAGGCCCTGAGGAATCATATTGAAGATATTTTCCACCATGCATTGCAGCAAACCCAGGGTCACGCTCCAATCTGTTTCAAGCAGTAGGTGTATATCACACAGTATATCACTAAATGGGAGTATATTTGTACACATTCTCACACCCACACGTGTGTGTGTGAGAGATAGGGAAAGAGGGGAGAAGAATCAATTCTTCCACCACCAAAATGCAGCCACCTCTGGGGTGAGAAGGCAGCAAATCAGGCAGATAACAGTTTCATACCAATGCTCCACAATTCCACTCACAAAACACTCGCACCAACCAAAACAGCCAGCTACACGAACAGGCAAAACTTTTCACACAAGCAGGCAGGCACATTCACAAGTTTTGCGAGCACTTTTTTTTTTTTGGGGGGGGGGGGGGGAAGAGGCTCTTTGAAAACCCAGCAGCAAAGCATAGCACAACCCTGCAAAGAAAAAAAACAAAACCCCAAACCCGTCCCCAGACCTTCTATCTACTGTAAGGTGCTATGTCAAACCCACCACCCCATTATCTAAGCACTTCCCATGCAAATCAGATCTACACAGCAGGGACCCTAATGGGCTTCCTGGGGGTTTGTGCTCTTTGCCCTTCCCTGGTTACAGGGGAGACAGCAACGCCCTTTAACAGCTTGGCAGCTGGGCGCCCCCCACACACGCCCCCCAGCAGAGGGCTGCCCCCCCCATAGGCGCCCATGAATTTGGCAGCCACTATTAGGGAGACCCTGTGAAAGTGACGCCCCAAGGCGGGGGGGAGGCAGCCAGGCTCCCCCCTCCGAGCGGGCAGGCCGCGCCCGCACCCCCAGGCCAGGCCGGGGGGGAGGGGGGAGAACGGGCCCTGGGGAGGCTCCGGCTGAGCAGCGGCACCCTGGGCTCACTATGTGGCAGGAAGCAGGGCCCGCCCCACCGGCTCGGCTCCCTATTTGGCCGGGGCCTGACTGCTGCCCCCAGGCCAACGGGCCAGCTGGGGAGATGGTCGTCGCGGCCTACGCGCCCGCTCACTCACCCCGCTAGGCGGCCTCGCTCTCTTCGCCGGCTCCCTCCACTCACCACCACCGGGGCGGGCCGCCCCTACCGTCCGTCCGCCATTCCACAACTCCCCCCCCTGCCCTGACTGAAACTCGCCCCGCCTCCCCAACCGCCGGTCCGCGGCCCAATTGGCTCCCCACCTCGGCCCTCCGGCAGCTGATTGGTTCCCCCGCCGCGCCCGTCAAACTTGCTACGCAACTTGTGTACGCTCCCAGCGCAGCACCAGGACCCCACCCAAGCAAGCCCCGCAAAGAGAGTCAATAAGGTGGAACGTGCCATATGAGCGCTGGGGGGGGGACACCATTGGATTACACTGAACAAGATTTCCTGAAGGTCAATCAAATGTTTTGAATTAATATGATACTTTAAAGATATTTCACGGTGATTAAGAGCGATCGGAAAAGATTGTGCTTCCTGATTATTTTGTGAAACGCTTGGCCCTCCCCTTCCTGGACTCCTCCTCCTGTGACTGCACTTGGTCTTTGCCCTTCTTCTCGATGGTGTGAGGCCCTCCAAGGAAGGTTCCACCTGGGGGAGCGGGGGGGGGGGGGGGGTCTTACCAGATTGACGGGCCGGCTGGAGAAAGAGAAGGGGGGGGGAGTAGGAGATTCCAGCAGGGGGCAGGACCTTAGAGAGGGCAGAGGAGGGGGGAGGGCAGTAGTGTAGCCAGTGGGTAAACTGAGGCCACGTCTCATTGGGGGAATATGGAGCTTAGGTTAGGTTAGTTTACCCACTTCATTTTTTCACACTACACCACCGATGGGGAGGACAGGGACAGACGGAGGATGGCAAAGGCTGGGAATGGCTGCTGTCCTGCAGAGTTTAGGTTGTGCTGCTACTAAACAGACGAAATGTCGGGAAATAGAAATATTTTGTAGAGGGAAGGAAGCCATTTTTAAAATGACATCCTGTATCCAGGTGGCATGGTGCATCCCGTATCCACAGCGACCAGGTGTTTGGGGAGCTCTCTCTAGGCTGCATTATTGGCATTTTTGGGGGGTGTGCAAGGCAAAACTTTTTGTTAAACCAGTTTGGAGACCCTAGCTCGACAGATTGTGCAAAGAAACTCAATACATGTGATCTAGTCCAGCTTTTGGCCCTGGTCCTGCAGGCTGATCCATGTGGATGAAGCCACGCTGACTTCAAGCCAATTTGCTTGCAGGCACAGAGGTCTGTCTGTGTGCATCTGATAGCAGGATTGAGGGCTTAGTCTCAGCTTCTAGCAGTTTCTATTTCATTGGTGTCGGGAGATTTTCTCTCTCCAGTAAGGCCCAGGAATTCATTTGTAATACTCCGCTAGTGGCAGAGGCAGCAAAGTCAAGTTTCGCATCCTCTGGAAAGAACTAAATGAATCACCTGATTATAATATAATCTGTGAGTTGGGAAAAAAACCAATTTATACAGTAAAGAGTTACCAATATAAGAACTGAAAGGGAGTAGACAACATAAGTAAGCTGTAAGCCTTACAGAAGCAGATGTGTTCACAGGCCCCAACCCTGCAAAGACTTATGCATGGTCATCTTTTCACACAGGAGCAGTCCCAGTAGAGCCAATGGGCATAAGTCATTAAAGAATCGGGGTCTGAGTGGAGGAACCACCGGACTGGGACGCAGGAGGCCTGGGATTCTATTCCCATGCTGCCACTGGCCTGCTGGGAGGCCTTGAGCAAGTCACTGCTTCTCCCTGTGCCTCCGCCCCCCCCAAATCTGTCAAATGGGGACAATGATACTGATGGCGTTGGCCAAGCACTTTGCGATCTAGTGATGATGCACTATATGAAGGAGGCAGGAATAGTGCGTGAAGATGTGCATTGCTACTTGAAACACTGATATCCCCTTCTCGGTTCAGAACTGGCATCCCCAAAGGGCAGAGGAGAAATGGGAACCAACAGCTTCCATCCATGTCACACACTGCAGGTGTGAATAGCCGGATCAGAATTTAAAATATACACACTAGATGCACCATAGTACGGTACTTAACTCTTCTGCCCATTCACTCATTGCAATTTTTTCCTGGCGTACAATTTTATTTTCTTCACTGACTGCTTATAGACTCAGGGTTTACACTTAAAATACAGAACTAGCTGGAAGGAGTAATGGACAGATGCACCCAATTAACACTGAACAAGACACGCATATCCATCCATTCGAAGTTAATAAAGTGATCAGATTTTAAAATAAACGACAGTTACCAAATCACTAAATGCTATCCTCTGGCTTCCTGATTGGGGTTTTTTTTTTCGGTTTAGTGTGGCTTTGGTGCTGATTTGTATCATTTGCAAAATGTTATTGATAACCCAGTACAACAGGCTGACATCAATGCAGTCCTTACTGAGTGCAAGCGCCATCCTTGGGTCAGAGTTTCTGGTTCGCAGAGATTATGCTTTGCAAACTGGGTGCATTTCTTGATTCTCCGTTGGCCCTGGTGCAGGTTAGAGCAACCTGGGGAGGGCTCTAACTAGTGCTAGCTTGGCAAGAAACCATCCACTAGTTCAGAACAGCTGGAGTGATCACGGTCCAGCCACTCCTCCCTCCCTGTTCCTACATGCTCTTCCTTGCCCCTGCAGGGAGGATAGCATTGGAGCGGATTGTACCAGCTCTGCACCCACTTGTGACTCCCCCATACCAAGCTAGGGGGATGCAGCCAGTCTCCATTCCCTTTGCACTGTATGAGCAGTACAAAGGGTATGTAGCAGGAGAGAGAATGTGTCCTGTTGTCTGTCTCTCCCCCTCCCCCCCCCCGTTGTTTCTATATGGACCCATGGCACATAGGACATGTATGATACATTAATATTTCTATGCATTTCTCGCCCATCCCGTCCATTCTTCCCCTCCTAGTGCGCAGCACCTTGGAAAGACGAGCCAGCAGCAGCAAAGGCCAACAGTGGATGGATCAGTGGCTGAATGCTGCAGCAACTGGGGCAAACAGGCAAGCGTTCTCATCACTCAAGATCTCACCTGTCGCCATCAGCACCTGATACAGAACGCTGCACCCGTGTCACCTGACACCCATAGCTAGCACCCCTGGGCCTGCACGTAACCCACTTCCCTATGCCTTTAAATAGTCAACCCTTGCAACCTGGCTCCACCCTTTCCTCCCTCTTTGACTGTTCAAACAGCTACACCCCTCTCCTGGAGAAACCACCCTTGAAATCACTAGGCCCACTCCACCCCTTGCCAACACCCCTCCACCTCTCTCCTGTGGTAACAAGCTTGCACAGCTCTAAGGCATGGACCTGGGCCCCATCTCCTATAGGAAGGCATTGGAGGGTTATCACCTCCAGGTTTTCTATGCTGCCCGTCAGCCTTTCCCTTGAAGAGGATTTGCCTCCATTGATAGGTGTCATCACAGCCCAAAGGGAATCCTGTAATCGGTATCTGCCCTGCAACCTTTATTGCTCGGCTGCGTAAGAGAGTCTCTGTTTATAACCCCTGAATAATATCTCCTGAACTGCAATATCCAAAACAAAAGTGATTGATACCCCCCGACACTTGTTTCTCTAGAAGAGATGTGGTCGCCTGCCAATCGCCTTCCTGTATTTTCTGAATGTAAATGATTCTCCAGCTCACCTGCCATACAGATGGCCCAAGTGAGCAGAAGAACAGCCCTACCTACTCCAGCCGGAGCTGTGACCAGGCATCTTTTCAGCTATTTTGCTTGTACCACCCTTTTTTACAATGGGGGAATCTAATGCTCGTGCAAGAGGCTGAGAACGCCAGCCAATGCCACGGGCAGATGTATTACAGGCTTTTCCACAACAGGCTGTCCTATGGATGAGCCTCAGACTGACACATAGGGCCCTTTTTATCGCACGCCTTGACCCTTCCTGAGCACAGACGATCATGCTACATTAAACCCGTGTGTTGTGTCTGCTAATGTCTTTGTGAACCGTTGAAGGGGACTAGGGGATGCTTGTCCAAATGGTGTCTTCTGTCCATTGAGATCCTTGGACTAACGGAGCTTGGATGAAACCAGGACACATCATCCCTTGTGACCTAACTCAGGTCTTGGAAAGAGAATGCTAGTGCACTAACTCACTGCACCATCCAACTGCCCTTTGCTACTATAGTTGTGAAGCACTGACTAGGTGATTGAATTGTACAGAACAGAGTAAGACACGGTCTCTGCCCCACACTGTCAAAGGAGCCTGAACCAAGGTGTGAACCCACACTGCTGAGCTCAGAGCCAAGATACTTTGCAACTGTGGTTTGGTTCTGCAAATACTGATACCATGGGTTCACGCCTCTCTTACATGCAGGCTGATGCTTGCATCGGGGAATTTATTAATGCTCCCGGCAAGGCATAGAGGGCAGGAGAAAATGATCCCAGTCACAGTGCTGACCTGGAACAAAACTGAAGGGATATGGCCGCAGGGGTCGGCAGCCTTTCAGAAGCGGTGTGCCGAGTCTTCATTTATTCACTCTAATTGAAGGTTTCGTGTGCCAGTCATACATTTTAACATTTTTAGAAGGTCTCTTTCTATAAGTCTATAATATATAACTAAATGATTGTTGTATGTAAAGTAAATAAGGTTTTTAAAATGTTTAAGAAGCTTCATTTAAAATTAAATTAAAATGCAGAGCCCCCCGGACCGGTGGCCAGGACCCGAGCAGTGTGAGTGCCACTGAAAATCAGCTCGCGTGCCGCCTTCGGCACGCGTGCCATAGGTTGCCTACCCCTGGGCTACAGTGTCAAGTAACCCCAGGCAACAAGTAGGGTGACCTTGTCCGTGAAGAAAGAGCAGTGGTTCAGCACTCTGTGGGAGGGGGGGTAGGAAACATTACAAAGAACAAGGCTTAGAGTGCTTGGATTTGGGGGTTCACTTGTGCAGTGGGTCTGGAAGGATTCTGGTTCTGGTTCTAAGCTGCAGGGCATGTTTATAAGGAGTTTGCTGGTGTCGCTGGGAGCACTCTCAGACAATTAACATTGTTCAGTCTTTACAATGGGCTAAGCCCAAGGGCTCATTCTTGCAGGATACTCCGTGATACTTGCCAGGAGGAAGGATCTGCTCATGATTAAGGCATGGGCCTGGCAACCAAGAGGACCTGGAGTTTATTCCAGCA